TGCATCAACACCGCACCCATCACTGAGATAGACGCATCATAATATACTACCAAGTCCTCTACTCCCTTCGGAAGGGCTAACACCGGTGCTTCGCACAATCTCTGGCGAACGGTCTCGAAAGATCCCTGCTACTCAAACCCCAAACAAAAGTAATGCCCTTCCGGATCAACTTGGTCAGAGGGAAATCTTGGAGAAATTTGTAACAAGCTGAAAATCTTTTCCTTGAAAGCCCAGCTAGTTAACTAAAATGAGTGTCAGACTCGTTATTGGTTTCAAAGCTCAGTAAATTCAACCATTGAGTATAGGATTGGTTCGTGTACACTTCTAGCACCAAAAATCAAGCACTACACTCCATTTGAGGGAGTGTATAACCGTACACATGAGTGTACGGCTGTACACCCATGTTGGGTCGTACCCCCCTCCATAAGAGTGATATCCCTTCATTTTTCCTTCATTCTTGCACTTTCACCTGAAGAACACTTGAATTGTCTCTCAACTACCATCCGATTTTCATCCTAGATCTTCAAGATTGTAAGTGTTCTTACCTTGATTTGTTGTTAATCCTTTTAATCTAGTAATACCCTCTGATTTCATCCATTGGAAATCATATTTTGGCTAGATCTTCAAATCTCACCAAGAACACGAAGAACACACACTTGTTCTTGGTGATTTTGAGCCTTCTTAAGCCTCCGGATCGTAAGTACTCTTTCCCTAATCTTGTTTAGAAGACTAGTTTGAAACCTTAGAAATGCCCAGAACTGAAGAACATATGGTGTGTGTGGCCGCACATCTATATGTGGCCATACACCCTTCAAATCACCCTTAAAGGGCCTTCAAAATGCATTTCCAGCTTCACAATGTGAAGAGCAATTGTCCCACAAGCATTCCTACCCTTGGAAAATGTTATTGTGCACTCATTACCATGAGTGTGTGGCCGTACACTCCCTGGCTATACACCCATGGCCACACACTCCTAAAAGTGGCCATACACTCCCCTTAGTTGAATCACATGTGATTCCAACACTTGGTCAAAGTGTTTCCTAGTCCCATGAGATGTTTCCTTTCAATTGGTTTCTTCTAAACACTATATTCATGCCAATATATGTCATTATAAGTCATTTAGAACTCGTTAGGTCTCGGGACTGCATTCATGGAACTTCTCATCCTTACGGGGCATATTCGTTTGAATCACCCACATTAGGTGAGTTCATACCCCGTAATCAATCTTTTAAATTGTTTTAAATGCTATTAAAGGGGGAGGGGGAATACAAGTTGAACACAATGATAATTATGTAAATGTTTGCTATAAACACCTTTCAAAAGATTGCTTATGTCCTTTATAAGTGATCAAAACATTTCAAAAACTCTTTTAAAGTTATGTTACTTTTTAGTTTAACAAAACTCCATTTTTAAAGTACAAGCATAACCTAGTAGTAAAATGACTCTTTTCAAACAACAGTTCAAGTAAAACACTAGTAAACTATAACGGTTATAGTTTAGAGGTTCAGTTTATACTAGATACAATACACGATAACATAAGAGAACACACAATAAAGAGAAACAGGGAGGAATATACAATACATGATAACAGAAAGAACATACTAAGATACTATAATAGAACAAACTTACTAAGATGCTATAGCATGGAACAACTACAGGATCTGATTATACCAATGAATCACTAACTCATTGTTCTAAACAAAAGGTGATAGTTAAATTGGCTATATATGATCACATAACTTTAATGTGGATTACACGGCCTAGCATCTGGTTTGTTGTAGTCGCGTTTGGTTCCAAAATCTCTTGACTGGGAGAGCGTATAGTATGGGTAATAGCCTTAACAGTATGACCTTGATAATACAAACATGTTTTTAGAATCCCTTGACTTGGAATAGGAATAAATGGAAGAAAATGGATTGACATTAGCGCGATCTGATCCATTCTCAGAGATCAATCCTGAACCCGACAGATCGTTCCTTTTTCCGGTATAAGAAATAGGTGACTTAGCTAAGTCGATTCTTAGAAAATATCTAAGCAAACCATTTGTCCTTATTTCAACAAAGGAAGCACAGGCCTTTTCAATTTTTTTGTTTTGGTCCCAATTCAACACTAAAGAAGTCCGAACTAATTGAATACTTGTGTCCCAAATTTCAAGAATTGGGTCGTAATAAAGGATATAATTGACAACTCGAAGTTGTAGATTATCACTTTCCTGCAAGAGATCCGGCGGGAAAAGTCTTCCTAAATTTATACCATCCGTTTTTTTATATGGGACTACAGGTTGAACCAAAACAAAATATTTTTTTTCATACCTGGAAAGTTTCATTCGTTGGATATAGAGCCAATTTTTCAATTTTTTGTATTCTTTGGAATTTGGTTTTCCCCCTCCTGGCGGTATCAATCGGAATGCCTTATTTGTCTTTCCAGGAAAATGGATATCTCCAGAAAAGATTATCAGTTTCATTTTTTCTGCTTTTTTCTTCACTAGGACCAATCCGCCTACCCGACTTCTTCTATTGAAAGTGATTTGTGTATCTGCCCCAATAATACTATTGTGCCGTACCATTATGGAAGAAGATTCGGACAAAATGTGGACTTCCACGGGAATAAAACAAAATGGATTTACTTCCTTTTGGTATTTTGGCCAAAATACCTTGACTCCTCGATACTCAATCAAATTCTCTTCGTTGACGATTGAATTTAGTTCTCGAGTCTCATATTTAGTAAGTCCCGAGCTCTTTCTTATATATCGAGGATCATCAAAATAAGCAAGAATACTATTTCTACGGAGAATACCATTTCTGGGTATTTCCATTGAGATACCTGAAGAAGGTATTAGTTGGTTCTCGCCTTCTTGAATCGATTCGAGTGGGATGATGAATCTATTTCTTCGCCTCTTTGCCAATAAATCAGAATTACCGTCGAGAATGGCCGAATATCTGAGATTACAATGATCCGTACATGTCATTCGATTCAGTTCTGAATAATCAGGAATCCTATCTCCTTTTTGATTTTTACCAGAAAAATACGAACTAAAAAATTTGTGTCTCACTTGATTATTAGTTACTGAGGGGTTAGCAATATATCTTGGCTTGACAGAAAGAGAATAAGCGTTCATTTGATCTTGATCCTTGTGGATCGAACAAGGGCCTAGACTGTATCTCCAGGGCTCCCCTAATAATATCCATAAATGACTTGTTTTTGGTAAGAGATGAATATTACCATACGTAAATTCAGGTGCATGGTACACATCAGTATTCCAGTGCATTTCGCCTTCTGAGTCAGAATAAATATGTTTTCGAACCTTCTCTTTCAAATTCAAAGTGGAGGTTCTCGCGCGAATCTCAGCAATCACTTGTTCTGATTCTACATATTGATCGTTTTGAACTAAAAGAAAACTTTTGGGCGGAATACACACATTGTGTATAATATCTTCACTCTCAATAGTTACATACAAGTCTCTAGAACATAGAAAAGCAGGATGTCCATGACGTGTACGTGTCGGGTGAACCAAATCCTCGTTGAATTTTATTTTTCCATTAGAAGGGGCTTGCACATGTTCTGCAGTACCCCCTGTAAATACTCCGCCGGTATGAAAAGTTCTTAATGTTAATTGAGTGCCCGGTTCTCCAATAGATTGACCTACAATAATACCTACGGCTTCTCCCAATTCGACCAGGTCGTCATGAGCTGGACTCCGGCCATAACATAATTGACAAATCCAAGATGTACTCCTACAAGTAAAGGGGGTTCGAATAGAGATTGGGTGTGCTCTAAAAGTTATGAATCTACTGACAAGTCCAACCCCAATATCTTGATTTCTAGTAGCAATACATCGCGAACCTATATATATATCATCTGCTAATACACGGCCAATTAATGTTTGGATAAAAATCATGTCCGTCATCATTCCATTTCGAGGACTTACAGAAATACCTCGAACGGTGCCACAATCTGTTCGACGTACAACAATGTGTTGAACTACTTCAACAAGTCTGCGCGTGAGATATCCTGCATCTGATGTTCGGATAGCGGTATCCACAACCCCTTTACGGGCTCCGTAACAAGAAATAATGTATTCTGTTAAAGACAGTCCTTCGTGTAAATTGCTTTGAATGGGTAAATCAATCATTTGCCCTTGAGGATCCGACATTAATCCTCTCATACCTACTAATTGATGTACCTGAGATGCATTTCCTCTGGCTCCCAAAAAAGACATTATATGGACTGGATTAAAAGGATCGGTCATCCGAAAATTAGGATTCATTTCTTGTCGCAAATATTCACTTGTGGCATACCATATTTCGATCGATTGACGTAATTTTTCTACCGCGTGTACATTCCCATAATGATGGTGTTTTTCCAAAATAAAACTTTGTTGTTCAGCGTCTTGAACTAGCCATCTTTTAGAAGGTATTGTTAAAAGATCATCAATTCCTAATGAAATGGATGCGACGGTAGCTTGTTGGAAACCCAGAGTCTTTACTTGATCTAAGATATGTGATGTATATCCTATTCCATAGTGATCAATAAATCGACTAATAAGTCGTTTCATGGCAGTTCCGTCTATCACTTTATTGTGAAAGACCTGAGTGGGCCGTTCTGCCATCAGTACCTCCATATTGCGCTGAGTAGAATTTTACAATGGGCTTGAGTCAGTGATTGGAAAACTTCCTTTTCTAGATCTTGATTCACGTATAAATTCTGCACTTATGGTCCTAGTTAACCCGGAGAGACTCGAATTCCCGTTGGTAGCATAGAATTACAACAGCCCTGCCAAAACCCCTGTATGGCTTCTTCTATTTCTCGATAAAGGGAAATATGACCAAGAGTGGTTCGAATATATATATAAAGAATTTCTTTTTTTATACTTCGTACTATTAGATAGTGTCCATAAATCTCATAATAGGTCCCCACAGATTCATAGTGAATTTCGATGGGAACTTCTCTTGCAGTAATAACGCGTTGATCTAGTCGCCACCACAGCCACAAAGGACTACCTAAATTGATTCGTTTTTGCCGATAAGCTCCAATTGCATCATAGGGATTACAAAAAAAGGGTTCTTTTTTTTTGTATACTTATAGTTATTATCTTCATTTTGATAGTTTCTACGATTACATGGATTATACCTATTTACACAAATACCCCGACGATTTCCACTCGTTAAGACATAGAGTCCACTAAGCATATCTTGAGTTGGTGCCGAAATCGGATCCCCAATAGTTGGAGACAAAAGATTCATATGAGAAAACATAAGTAAACGCGCCTCTGCTTGAGCCTCCAAAGATAAAGGCACATGAACAGCCATTTGATCCCCGTCAAAGTCTGCATTGAAGCCCTTACAAACTAATGGATGTAAACAAATAGCGCGCCCTTCCACTAAAACGGGGAGGAATGCTTGTATGCCTAATCTATGCAGAGTAGGCGCTCTATTCAGCAATACAGGATGGTCATCCAGAATTTCCTGAAGTATTTCCCATACAATTGGTTTTTTTTCCGAATTTGACTCTTAGCAACTCCTATGTTCGAAGCAAGATGTTTTCTAATTAGGTCACGAATTACAAATGCCTAGAAAAGTTCTATTGCTATTTCGCGAGGCAATCCACATCGATGTAATGAAAGTGAAGGGCCCACGACAATCACGGACCGCCCTGAATAATCGACCCGTTTACCAAGCAGAGTCTCGCGAACTCTTCCTTCTTTGCCTTCAATTACATCTGAAAGCGACTTGTAAACTCTATTATGATCATCCCTCATTGGTTGTCCGCAGATTCCATTATCAAGAAGTGCATCCACGGCTTCTTGTAGCAATTTTTCCTGAGATATTATTAATTCTTCTGGCATAGTACGCCAGGATGTCAATTCAAAAGACAAATGAGTACTTATATTAATCCCATTACTTTCATAAAATGACAGTTCCAGTTGAAACTTAATGCAAATTATTTTCGAGTCAAGATAGTTATAAACTAGGGAAAACTTACATCTTTTCAAAACGACAAATAGAACATTCGGGTCTAGTACATTCAGTAGAAAGGGACCATAATGCTAACCTTATGATTCCTTAATGTATACATCAAGGGATATATACTAATAGGATCCGACAGGTAATAGGATGTATGCTTTCAGTTTCATTTCATGTTCCTTGTATGGTTGTGGGCTTAGAGCGGATTCACCCACCCTGTTATCCATTTGATATTAGTTATATATATATATATATATATATATATATATATATATATATATATATATATGTTCTGTATACATTAATTCATCATAAGGGGTACCAGGTATGGGTCAGGTCATAGGATACTAATTCAATGCACAGTTTTCTAGTACAAAATATACTTTTCAAATAAGAACTTTTGATATACAAAACTAGAAACTTACTAGTAAAAGGTTTAATCCATTTTATTAAACCAATATAACTTAAAGGACCTTAGGTGGTTAATCCTATAATACCTTAGTTTATACATCAAGGTTATATATAATTAATATCTGAGAGGTACTTTCATGTGTGCTTTCCGCCTTATTCCCTGTTCCTTGTTTGGTTGTAGGCTTACGACAGATGCACACAATTAACTATCTGTTCGATATTAGATTATATATAGCTAGTACAAAATAAGTGATTATAGAAGGAGCCACTGTGGTTACTATTTTTATTATATGAAATAAGGGTTTTCTTAAAGAATCTTTTCATCAAATATAAATGAACTATTATAGTTAACTTCATAAGTACCAAGTGAATACATCAGGGTTATATACAATGATGATCTAACAACCAATGGGATGTGTGCCATCCGCCTCATTTCCTGTTCCTTGTTTGGTTCTGGGATTAGGACAGATACACACAATCGATTTTTTGTTTACTCTGAGTTTTATATAACTTTTATCCATTTCGTACACATAGAAAGGATTCTAGAGTCATTTTTACTTATCTTTCATAAAAGCAGGAAATATAGGATTTTCTGCAGGAACAGGCAAACTTTTCTAAACAGAACTACAACTTTTCACAACATACTTACATCACTAAAATCTTATGACTTGTATTCTCAGGAAACTAGTAGACAGGTACTCGCGCTGGGAATTCATAAAATAGAGTAGTATAGCTTCATGTCTTATTTTTTATTTGCATATGTATTCTATGTTTTGTGAATACATACATTGTAAACACTTTCTTTCTAATGAAATGGTTGTTCATTACTCTTATTACTATGATGCATGTCTTGTGATACTAAACATGACGTCCTCCGCCCCCGAACGTTTCGACCATTCCGGTTTTGGGGTGTAACAGATTGGTATCAGAGCATTGTTTATAGTGAACTAATTATATCCACCGATAAAAGATATACAACTATAAATACAACGTGGGTTAAGTGCTAAGGATAATAATATATTTTAAGAAAATAATGATAAGTTATAAAAATATACCTACTTGCTTATACATGTATATACACTAGAACAAGTATCACAAGAAGAACAGAACATAAGTATTTAAAGGTTGAATATTGCAGTCAAACCTGGGAAGTTATGTAATTGTATCTAGGATAAATATAGTCTGATCAATTATATTCATTTGAGATGCGACCGACATGTGCTTCGGAGTGATGTGGTGTTGCAACGGTGTTAAAACTTACCTAACTCTGTACAAGGGATCTCTAGATCAGAACATGAAAGTTAGAATACTATAGGAGTATTCTATGATACTATAACGCGATAACTAGTTTAAAACATACCAAGTATATTACATTAAAATACTATAGGAGTATTTTAGGCATTATATAAATAAATTATGTGATAACTTAAGAGACCCTTACGTATAGGTCTATAATCTTGCTATGTATACTCCCAAGGTTTTATATAATTGAGATTTTATAGACTTAGAATTTGTGATCTACGCTTCACTACCCGTTCATTGTTTGGTTGTGGTTTTGGAGTAGGGTCACTTATTCGAAGGTCTATTTAATCTTAAATTATATACAACTTGTATACATTGTACGATTATAGGAGGACTCTGTAAGGATCACCCCATAAAGTGTTGGGTTTTGAGCATTGTAACACTCCTAAGTGTACATGCAACCCTAAATATCTTAGATCTATGTTTTCTCTATTATACATGCAAATATTAACATCCAAGGTATCATCCTAATCTAGCATAAAAAACAATCAATATAACAAGATAAAATACATACCTCTTGATGTAAAAAGTCTTCATGAAGCTTGAGTGCCTAGTGCCCCAATTGTGACACCTCAAATGGTTCACACAACACCAAAGACACTTGGAATAACTTGAGAGAAACTTGAACACTCCTTGAAATCGTCTAGCCCTCACACTCACACATAGTGCACGATTTCTTGAGCCATGGGATTCTTTTATATGGTGGCTATTAGGGTTACACCATGTAACTCATGACTTTACCCATTCCTTATGCTCCATGGATTTTAACCTCCATGGAGTATCCATGGTTCACCCCATGGACTTAGTCCAACATAAGGAATCTTGGATCACAAGCCCACATATATAAGAATGAATGATTTACACAATCAACCCATATATTTAATTAGTCTCCTTTTGATCACTTAATTAATTCCAAATTAATTCTTGATCAATACTAATTAAATAACCTTATTAATATATTAGAACTTATATATATATATGTGTATATATATATATATATATATATATATATATATATTAACAAATCTTAAGTGTTATTTCTCTCATTATAGTCTATCCAAATGCATGATACCATGCAACCCAAATGGACCATGCCGGGTCGGGTCAAGTCTTACCAATTATAGTTATGGACTTAGACATTAGTCCAACAGTCTCCCACTTGGATAAGTCTAAAAATATTATTGCGTATGACTTCAGGAACCGACTAGCAATCGTAGCTCTCAAAAGCTTATGTCGAACTCTGACCTTGTAGATGAACTCTGACCTTTGTCAATGACTTGTCCATTAGATAAGGGATCATATATTCCTCCATTCTAGATATCATATGGACTGAGACATGGATTATAATCATTCTCTCTGTCCATTTGTTGTTTCCTGATTTCCAATTTATGACGACTGACTAATTGAACAATCAAATCAGTCCTGGCCCGTCCGAGCACTTCCATTTGTCATCATCAAATCATCGAGGGGCCCACAGATATCACTTTTATCTTGAAGGTAAAAGGAATAGATAAACTTCGACTCATATGGCTTGTTCTACTACTTGTTGAATCATACACAAAGGCACATTTTATAACACCGAGTTACCGAATGCGTTTTCGTGCAATCAATGTACAACCAACTCATAGTAACAACTCATATCTCTAGGTTTGAAGAATATAAGATATTATCGTCTCATGATCATTCGTGATAAAATCCATGAAGTGATTCCAATGAGCACGGGTTGAATCCAATACTCAGAACTTATGAGCACTCATGAGTGTTGTAGCCCTTTATCCAACATCTTAGACCTCTACAAGCCAACCCATGACGGTCTTAATTCATATCTACTTCCAACATATAACCGACTGTGGATGGTTTGAATATCTTAGTCATCCAGAACAATGACCTAGTTATTCAGGAAGTTAAAACATGCAAAATGAAACATAGCAATAATTGAATTTAATATGGTATCAAAACCTATGAACATAAATAAAACACCTTTTATTTATCACCATATGATTACATATTATTCATTGTATATTGTTTCAACTATCAACTTTATTATTGAATTTAAAAGAATAGTTGCCCCATGCTCCAAGCATGTACACTATGTTTTCTAAACACTAGTCATGCCATACACCAAGTATGCATACTATGTTTTTCTACGATCTTTACTTTGTGAATTAGATCAATTGAACATAACTCCAATGATCCTCTTTTCACAGTCCCAAATCCTTACTACAAATGCAAGAATTCCAAATTCATGCCATTTACTGAAATTTGTTAGATTCTAAACTTATATGCATTGATCCTCTTGTAATGATTATGCATAAAGTCAGAAAGACTTGACAACAACCATTACAGAGCATTCCAAAGGAGATTAGCTCCTTGGAGACATCCTTCTTGCATTGAGTTTCCTAATCTTACACAGATTGAATAATTTCTAACTTTGAAACATTTCCAGATTCCGTTTTGACTGTAACTTCTGAACAAGAGTTGCCTCATTATAGATTATGTCAATATGGTCCTTCCACAATTATCACTATACTTCCAACTGTCCTTGAGCAACCAATCTTTGGTAAACCTTAGATCGTCCTCGACATTGTTTAATCCTTTTAGTCATATCCAATTCTAGACCTTTTCCCTTCTTAATGCCCCAGGCATTTGGAAAATTTTAGAAGGATGAATATAGCACATGTAATCGATCCTATATTCGAAGCATATGGTACACGACTCATGATGTCTCACATAAAGACTAAACCAATCTTTTTCTATAACATTTCCATTTCTATTTGCCAAGTTCTCATAATTCAAATTATGGAAAGGGATGTCGTAATCATAATCGAATTTTAGAACGTAAATAATGGACCCATATACAGAATTTCCTTATGTTGAGCCATTCCAACAAGAAATTCATATATATATATATATATATATATATATATATATATATATATATATATATATATCCTTGACTAAATACGATTAAAACCTCAATCTAAGCTTTTAGATTTGAGATGAAGTATAATTTTCTCTCCCTTAATTATAGCAAAACAACTCTTTCCCAATTGAAACCATTTGTTTTCTATAATTAACATTATCATACACCTTATCTTAGATAGCTCACAGGTGTGTCTAAACAATTTTAAGAACTATGAAAAGGGATGTCGTAATCATAGTCTCGATT